ACTTTAAAACAGTAAATAATACAAATAATAAACTTACGCTACAAAAACTGTCATATAATTATACTGTAACATTTTGGCATTTTTCTGCTATATGACACAAGGAAACAACAATATATTCAATCAAAATTAGTTTTAATTGGTCAGATGTAGACCATGTGTCGGCCATTTTGAAAACAGTATGTCATCATTTAACTCGCCGTAATCAAAGGGACCCGGCACAGTGTTGGGATAGTGGTAAAAAGTAATTCTAGAAAAAAATTTATACTTTATATATAATATATAGACAAGGGGTGGAACTCGCCAAATCGGCCGAACGCCCCTAGTCCAGTATAAGTCAAAATTGCAAAGTCATTCTTGCGTAAATCATATAAAGCTATATATCAAATTACAGCTAAATGACATCACTAGACGTTGACAATAACATTACTGTCCCAACTTAAACCGTTTTTGAACAACAAACCGATATTTCGGATGACACATCGTATTTTTGCTAGGTCGGACACAACTGTGCAACCTGTCCCCACTCGATTTTCTACGTGTAAAAACGCAATTCCAAACCATGACATTATATCAACCCGCAATAAATCGATAATAGAAAACAAAAGAAACAACTTACCGCCGGAAATTGATTTTTAAAATGTTTTATAGCGTCTGTAAACAATTAATTCCTGAATGTGAAAATGAAAGTTGTAATCAGCATCCATTGGCTATCACGTGACCAATTTAAAACGGATTATTTCATTGGTTGATTGAAATACAAAGCATTGCTGGGTCACAGAATCGTCCAATCAAACGATGTCTTACAACCGTTGCCGAGTATGTATCATGGCTTCAAAAAATATTTTGACGGAGAGAGAAAAAAAAAGAAATGAATGTTTTCTATAATTGATTGGTTTTGGAACAAATTTCCAGCAGTAAGTTGTTTATTTTGTTTTGTTTTATCGATTTATTGTGGATTGGTATATTGACATGGTCTGGAATTGCGTTTTTACACGTAGAAAATCGAGTGTTGACGGGTTGCACAGTTTTGTCCGACCTAGCAAAAATCAAAGGGACCCGGCACAGTGTTGGGATAGTGGTAAAAAGTAATTCTAGAAAAAAATTTATACTTTATATATAATATATAGACAAGGGGTGGAACTCGCCAAATCGGCCGAACGCCCCTAGTCCAGTATAAGTCAAAATTGCAAAGTCATTCTTGCGTAAATCATATAAAGCTATATATCAAATTACAGCTAAATGACATCACTAGACGTTGACAATAACATTACTGTCCCAACTTAAACCGTTTTTGAACAACAAACCGATATTTCGGATGACACATCGTATTTTTGCTAGGTCGGACACAACTGTGCAACCTGTCCCCACTCGATTTTCTACGTGTAAAAACGCAATTCCAAACCATGACATTATATCAACCCGCAATAAATCGATAATAGAAAACAAAAGAAACAACTTACCGCCGGAAATTGATTTTTAAAATGTTTTATAGCGTCTGTAAACAATTAATTCCTGAATGTGAAAATGAAAGTTGTAATCAGCATCCATTGGCTATCACGTGACCAATTTAAAACGGATTATTTCATTGGTTGATTGAAATACAAAGCATTGCTGGGTCACAGAATCGTCCAATCAAACGATGTCTTACAACCGTTGCCGAGTATGTATCATGGCTTCAAAAAATATTTTGACGGAAGAGAAAAAAAAAGAAATGAATGTTTTCTATAATTGATTGGTTTTGGAACAAATTTCCAGCAGTAAGTTGTTTATTTTGTTTTGTTTTATCGATTTATTGTGGATTGGTATATTGACATGGTCTGGAATTGCGTTTTTACACGTAGAAAATCGAGTGTTGACGGGTTGCACAGTTTTGTCCGACCTAGCAAAAATACGATGTTTCATCCGAAATATCGGTTTGTTGTTCAAAAACGGTTTAAAGTGGGGACAGTAATGTAATTGTCAACGTCTAGTGATGTCATTTAGCTGCAATTTGATATATAGCTTTATATAATTTACGCAAGAATGACTTTGAAATTTTGACTATACTGGACTAGGGCATTCGGCCGATTTTGCGAGTTCCACCCTTGTCTATATATTATATATACAATATATTTTTTTTTTTTAAATTACTTTTTTACACTATCCCAACACTGTGCTGGGTCCCTGTGGCAAAAATACGATGTTTCATCCGAAATATCGGTTTGTTGTTCAAAAACGGTTTCAGTGGGGACAGTAATGTAATTGTCAACGTCTAGTGATGTCATTTAGCTGCAATTTGATATATAGCTTTATATAATTTACGCAAGAATGACTTTGAAATTTTGACTTATACTGGACTAGGGGCATTCGGCCGATTTTGCGAGTTCCACCCCTTGTCTATAATTATATTATATATACAATATATATTTTTTTTTTAAATTACTTTTTTACACTATCCCAACACTGTGCTGGGTCCCTGTGGCCGTAATGGTGTCTTCTTTCAGTTTTTTCATGTTTCAGTTAAAATTTCTTTATGTTATTTTGCATAATTCTAAATATTAAAAGTATTTAAACATTGTAACTCAAAATTTATTTTTGCAGCAAAAACGAACATTTAGAAATTGATGATTGTTTCAGACGTATGCACAAATTTAACGGACTATTGTTGTTTTTTGCAGAAGTTTGTAAAATGTTGTTCTGTTTTACGTAAACATCTATAGATTTAAAATATTTTGCACAAAAGCTTTGTTGTGTAGGTGTTTGAATAAAATATGTCAATTCTGACCAGTTTTAACACTGGTCACATGAAATATGCCATTACCGCGAAATAAGTGATGACGCGGAATTAGTGATGTTGAGTATAAATATTTTCCTTTTATGGATTTATTTATGGTTATGGACCTGTCATGCTTTGATGTGTTAATTGTAGTAAAGGTTGCTAATATTAACCTTGGCTACTGTAGCACCTTGGGTCATATTTATCTCATTCAAGCTTCATTACATGTATATTCTCTAATCTCATAATTGCATATTCCGTCATTTTTTAGAGACACTTTCAGTGTTCTTTCCCACCTAACTAGAGGCATACATGTGAACTCTCCCACTTTTAGCGGGAGACTCCCACTTTCTGCAGCCATATTTTCAAAGATTTTTTTAAAGATAAGGGGTATTTTCACAAATAAAAGAAATTTCCCTATTTTTGAAGTCAGAACTTCCTTCTTTGTTTATTGCAAATTCTAAAATCTCCCTCTTTTTTGAAGTAAAATCCCCTACTTGATCATCTAAAAAAAGTTCACATGTATGACTAGAGGTATACTGGTAAGAAATCCGGGAAACGGACAGAAGCCCTCCCGGACAAAAGCCCTCCCGTCAAAAAATGACAAGGCGGACAAAAGCGCTCCCATGAAAATGACAAGCGGACAAAAGCCCTCCCGTGAAAATATCAGGGCGGACAAAAGCCCTCCTGTGAAAATGACTGGGCGGACAAAAGCCCTCCCGTGAAATTAACAAGGCGGACAAAAGCCCTCCTGTAACAAAAATAAATATGTATGTTGAATACATACATGTGTTTTTTTCATTGCACTGAACATATTAAAATTGTTACATATATTTCTTGTTGTTTTCAAAGTTGTTTCCTTAGAACCGGTATGTGTATGAGCTAGAACCACCTTTTATTCTGAATGTACCTTCCTGAAATGTTTAACGAGGTAACTTTTTACACAAATGTCGTTAAAAACAAAGTCACTTTTAAAAGTAATTGACTCATTACAAGGCACATTATAAATGTCTATAACTTTTAAGTTAGATAATTTTAACTTCTTTTCATCATTTATTACTCAATTAATATTAACATCACATAGGAGTAATCCTTCATATCTACGTGAATAAATATGCACTTACAGATTTTAGCACTAATTATTCAAATGCAGTATTCACTAGCAAATTAAATGTGCTCAAGCTCATACAAACACGGTTATGCCAATGGAAAACAAAAATATTCATGATTACAATTTTAATATGTTGAGTGCAATATAAACTATTCTACGTACATATATGTATTTGCTGCGGGAGGGCTTTTGTCCGCCCTGTCATTTTCACGGGAGGGCTTTTGTCCGCCTTGTCACTTTTTGACGGGAGGGCTTTTGTCCGCCTTGTCACTTTTTGACGGGAGGGCTTTTGTCCTACACTCAAGAAATCCAGGTAATCCTCGGCCTCGCATGTATCAGTGCTATACACTGGGCATGTAAAAGAACCAAGGGTCTTTTTAATAAGAGCTAGGGACTGGTTCCCGGATTCCCTTGTATCTCATAGCTTTCTCTGAAGTGACTAGTTTAGAGTCATGTCTACGTCCCCGCAAGGGGTTTGACATTAATCGAAGAAAGATAGGTAAATAGAATAAAATTTAGGAAAATACGTTGAAAACTGCAGCAAAGACATGTCAATTACATAGTTTATTCTGTTTAATGTACATGCAATTATGTACACAGCATGGCAAATAATATGAATTAACACATATCTGCTGCCTAAAGAGTAAAGTTGTGTTCTCATATTTCCAAGGCAATTACATTTTAACAGTTTCAAAGGCAAAAACAAAAGTAATCTTTAATTTTTAGTACATCTATACTTAGCCCCTTCTGAAAGTGGGGATTTTCTCTTCTCTTTGGCATTTTATCTCGATGGTTGTTTAACAAAGACAATTATCATAAAAGGTATAAAAACTAAAAGTAAAATGATGAAATAATTTACTTTGCTCTAATCTGAATAAAATGATAAGTTTTCTAAGTTGTATATGTAGCATTTCAATAAAAATACAATAAAAAGTAAAAGTAAAACAACTAGCAGGTACATGAGGTCTAGGAGGCACTTGAGACTGTTTATGCCTAATACCTTGGAATTATGGGTATAATGGAAATATGAAGCATGAGTATATAACTAAAATTATATACCCTTAGTCATTATTGGTCAGCATTCAAAGTCAGTTGTTATTATTAAAGCACTTAAAGTGTCTAAAATTATAATTTTATCTCAAGAGAGAAGAGTTAAAGTATGAAGATGAAGATAGATCAGACAATGAAGATGAAAAACCTACCATTGTAGTTCTGAAGGAAGGTGATCTCACTGCTGAAGAGGCAGACCTTGCCTTGAAAGATGACAAGGATGATGGTTTGTATTTATGAATATACATACATACATCATGTTAATGACCAAATTTGATAAAATCCATTGTCTTATTTCTCACGAAGTAAATGCATTTTGTGCAATCATGTACAGCTGGGTTTATCTTATATAAAAAGTTCCCTTGTAATTCAGGTTGTGTTTTTTTTTCTTCCTTAATGTGTTTTTTTAGCTCACCGGAGCATGCTCAGGGTGAGCTTTTAGGATCGATGATTGTCCGTCGTCCATTCACATTTAGTTGTTAACACTCTAGCGGTCGCATTTTTGCCTCAATCATCATCAAACTTGGTCAGGATGCTTATCTAGTTGATAGCTGGGTCACAATTTTGACTCAATTGTCAACAATCTTGGTCAGGAAACTTGTCTAGGTCATTGCTGGGAATGAATCGAACATGGGTCATCTCGGATGAAAAACTAGGTCACAGGAGCTAAAAATAGAAAAATCTTGTTAACACTCTAGTGGCTACTGTTGTGATCCAAATATTCTGTAAATTGGTCTGAAAGTTTGTTTTGATGATTTCTATGTCAAGTTCGAACATGGGTCATCTTGGATGAAAAACTAGGTCACACCGCCCAAATATGGAAAAACCTTGTTAACATTCTAGTGGTCACATTTTCGACTCAATTATCATCAAACTTGGTCAGGATGCTTGTCTAGGTAATTGCTTGGATGAGTTCGAAATCGTATGTGAAACTAGGTCACCGGAGCTAAAAATAGAAAAATCTTGTTAACACTCTAGTTGCTACTGTTTTGATCCAAGTATCCTTGAAATTGGTCTGAAAGTTTGTTTTGATGATTTCTAGGTCAAGTTTGAATATGTGTCACCTGGGTAAAAAACTAGGTCGCACTGCTCAAATATGGATAATCCTTGTTAACACTGTAGTGGTCACATTTTTGACTCACCTGTCATGAGATTTAGTCAGAATGCTTGTCTAGGTAATTGTTCGATCTAGGCCCTCTTGTTTATTATTATTATTTTAATTCTTGTATATAATATGTTCCATACTGGGCCATACTGGAGTTATGACAGTGTTTCCTAATAATGACATCAGTACTGGTTAATATCAGGAACTGGACTGGAGTGGTTGAAATAAGCATCAAGCTTTCATCATATAGTAAATATGTTTTAAATTACCCTTAATCACCTGGAATAGGAAGTGTTTTAGCCTGCCACCAGTATAAAGCCTTGTCAGACTGCATGCATATTGTCCGACTAACTTCAAATCTTATCTTGATATCCCCCAGATTGTTAATGGTAGTTCCATAAATGAAAATTGGATAAGTCCATTTAAGAAATTCAGCAGGTTAAGAGTTTTTACTTACAGTTACTATCATTCAAAATAAAATTCTTTTTTCCTCACCAGATGTGGATGAGAAGGAGCCATCAGATGGGAAAATAACGTTCAAGAAGCCAGTTAAACGACAAAGTGAAACAGCTAATGAACTTGCAGTGTCAAGTAGTAAAAAAACTAAAGAAGAAAAGAAAACAAAGAAAACTTCATCATCAAAGGAAGTGAAAAACTCCAGTTTATTATCATTTGGTGATGATGAAGATGATGAAGAAACTTGATACTGGAAATGTGTCTCAATGTTATGAATATAATTTTTACAAAGCAAGAAGTGTACTTCTACAGAGCTGCGGCCTTGTGTATAATGTCCAAAGGTTAAATTAATTTTCCTGAGAAGAATAAAACAAATATTGCTTAATTTTGTGAATACTTAAGAAGAACAAAAATTACTTAAACTTTAGAAAAACATTGACAACTTCTAAACTTGGAAAGGAACATGAATTCATTGACTATGAATATTTGATGAATTTCAAACAGATTGTATCTTAAAAACTATTTTTAAATTACTAAAAATACTGAAATTGATTGTTATAACAAGATTTATATTTAAATTTTGTAAAGCTGTTTGTGGATGCAGTACAATCTGTTTAGCTTTATTTCATCTAACTATTCTATAAGTTATTAATATAATTATGTTTAGGTAGGGACCAGAAATTTTAATTACCCGTTGCAGAAAATGAACAAGAAGTCCTGGGACTATCCCAGGAATTCCTGAGAAGTCTCAGGAATTTGTCCTGGAAAAATCCCAGGATTTCCTGAGATAATCCTGAGACTTTTTTCACGCCGTTAAATGGGACTGGACAATCCCAGGATTTTCTTGAAGACAGGAAAAAACAGGAAAAAATATTGCTCTTCTATCCCAGGAATGTCTTGTTCTCAGGACAGTCTTATAATCCCAGGAAAGTCCTGTTCCCAGGACAGTCCTGTAATCCCAGGACAGTCCTGTAATCCCAGGAATGTCCTGTAATCCCAGGAAAGTCCTGTTCCCAGGACAATCCCATAATCCCAGGAATGTCCTGTTCCCAGGACAGTCCTGTAATCCCAGGAAAAGTCCTGTAATCCCAGACAGTCTCATTATCTAATAAATGTCCTGTCCCCAGGACAGACATGCAGAAATGTAGAAAACAGTAAAAGCTAATATTTTAATAAATGCTGCTTTGAAATATTAAAGCACAAATTTAGTAAGTTTAAAAATATTTATTTTAATATTTCATCATATTTTACATTTTATATGTATACAATTATTACATATAATTGAAGGGATTAGAACAGAAAAGTTTATCATGAAAAAATCACACACTATTTCCAATGTCAGCAAATTAGAACTTAAGATCCAGGAAAGTTTATAGATTTGAGAAAAAATACACTGAAAAGTTTGACTGTGATGGCATCTAGAAGCTAGCTTTGATTCACAAGTTAACAAACTTTCCCTGCATGGCATTTACATCATTTTGCTCTCAGGCTCCCAGCTTACTATCTTCCAGCCTTGAACACTTGGCACTCTGATTGACACCCTGACTCCTTCATTATTTCTGGAAAAAAAGACATGTTCAGCAATACTGAGTGACTGTCAAGTACAGTTCTATTCTTTTAAGCAGTGTAACAATTATTTATCATAATGTGTTTGTATAAATAATCCAAATTCTAGCCCCCTTAGCATTATCAAATTTAACAAAAATGTGCATATAATTAGCATGAGAAGAAAAAGGTCCCTAATACATATGAAGCCTTGTTCAAGTGATTTTTAAGAAATGAACATATTCACCCTGCATTTAACCTGCCTACATCAAGACTTTGACTTCTTTCTTTAAAAAAATCAATTTTAAAGAAGAAATGTGTTCTGATTTTTAATTGTCTTTTATTTCAAAAATAAGATTTTTGTTCATTGTAATGGAGAAGAAAAAGGTTTTGTTGAAATTAAAGTTTTGTAATATCAAATAAGCAGTGATGTCATGAAACTTTACATGCAATATAAACACAAGTGGTGGCATGGCCAAATGCAGGTTAACAAATCAGACCAGTAATCGAAGGATTCCTTGCCATATTTGTTTAAAGCCATTGTTTCCTTGAGAAAGAAACTTTACACTAATAATGCTTAGTACTAGTTGGTTGCAGAATAATTTGTTGCTTATAAGTTGGATGTAAAATTCAACCAAGTTAAGAACTTAAATGCAACTTTCATTAAAATAAGAATTTTAAAAGAAAGGTAACAATTGGTTTCAAATAATTGTGCAATGAACTATTTTTTTCTTCTGGGAAAGATTAAGAATAGTCAAATATAGTTATGTAATAAAATAAAGCATACCTTTTGGGGCTCAATACTGCACATCATTATTCACCTAGCATCTCAGAGTCAGACTCAGAACTGGCCCCACTTTAAAGCCTGCAATTTGTTTGAAATCTAATATCAGATTTTTCCATTGAAAACAACACATAAAATGATAAATAATTATGATAACCCTGTCTTATTCAGCTCCACAAAACTTACTGACAGGTGTGTATAAAACTGTACCATTTAGTTCTCATAATTTTAATTTGTTTCACATTATTTTAACTTGCAGAAATAAAAAAGACAATCTATCTATTTATATGCTATTTTGTATATTATATATGTTACAAATTAATGTGACAATCAAATCTAGATTTAAATCAATTGTTAGTAAATCAATGTATCATCAGAAGTGGTTGCAAATTTTAGTTTGCTACCTTGATTGTTTGATATACATATATAACCTGTTTCTGTATAAATGTAACTAAAGGTTTAATTACCTCATTCTGTTGTATATCTCCTTGTCCCAGGTGATTCTGATTCTTGTCATTCTTATTAACCATAACTACACTTATTAAACTTAAACACCTTAACATCTTAAACAAAACTATATCTCCAAAATTGCTTAAACAGGAAGTAGTCTCCTCTACACTATTTCCAAGCTTCTAGCTGACCATTCAAACTGGACAGGTACATCATTAGGTAAAACAGGGTTAATCCAAAAATCAAAGCAGTTATCATTTTATATGACATTCATTGAATGTAAAAAACCACATCAAATAGCTAATAGATAAGTAGATTTAAAAAAATCATGAAATTTAATAAAGAAGAAAAATTGCAATGTCCTAGACATATTCTGCATATCATTCAACTTTGTAATGTTACCTCTCCCCAAAATAATCACATGGAACAGTCTGATTTGTAGGAATGACCAGGGAGTAAATTAGTCATGCACATTATGGTGGGAGAACAAAGGTGGCCAGTTTTATCAGATCTTTGATCTGCATGGTGTAATATCTAAGTGGGTGTCCTAACATATTGGTTCCTAATGATTTGAAATAGATAAAAATGACAGTTGCATGAGTCTGAGTAAAAAAAAAGTACTGTAATAAGTAAAATAGGTTGAAAACATATACATTTCAATGTTTGTAAATGCAAAAAAAAAAAAAAACTAGAGTAGAATAATGCTTTTGGTAACTTTTATGTGAATTGTTTTTGTTTTGAAATGGAATGACAGAATTTCATTTCTTTCCATGGTCCACACAGAAATCACTGATTCCATGCCAATTCTGTCCCTATTCCGCTCAGAATCTGTGCCAAAATTATGTGCAGGTTATATACAATCATGTATATTTGATTTTCCCTATTACAATATCTTATTAAATGAAAAAAAAAATAATTTCCTTGCTATGTTCAAAAATCAATTAGCAATTTTTTCTTAATTGTTTGTGGTTAAGGTCTAAGATTATAGAATTTTAAATTCTGAGTATTTTGATACCCATTGTGTTAAAGAAAAACTATTACAAACCGACTTCAATATATTTTATCAATTTTTCTCATTTTTATACTTAGCATTTTTTTTCACCTTTGCTCAGTAATAAAAAGTCTCACAAAAGTTATTTCATTTATTCCTCTGTCTAAAGAACAGGAATTTACAAGACTTCTTACTTTTCACTTTACAGAAAGGCCTTCTAAGAAAATATCTTTCTTGTCTTTGACTAAAGGACTTCACTATAAATGAAGTCCTGATAATTCCTGTCCTCAGGACATATTTGAAAATAAAAGTCCTGAGATTTCCTGTTTTTTCCTGTTGGTAAGATTAAAGTCCTGACAATTCCTGTTTTGTCCTGTTCAGTATGTTCATAAGTCTTGAGATATCCTATAAACAGGACTTTTGTTAACAGGTAGCAAACAAATCCTGGGATAATCCTGGGATTTCCTGGGACTTCCTGAGAACAGGAAATATTTTCTGCACGGGTTGTTTGAAGAATTTGCAATTTTTTGCAACTACCATGGATAAGTTTTTGCAATAGCCAAACTGAATTTGCATCTTAAATGACAACATGTTATTTATTAATATACAACAAGATGTTTATATATTTATCTTTAATATTATACAATCATTTTGTAAATATGATATTTCAAGTTTATTTCTTAAACAGATTAACATCAGTTTATGAACATTTACATTTTTCCTTTGCAATTTACTGTAACAAAAAACAATCTGCAGTTTTATTTTGTAACTTGCATTTTGCAAGTTTCAGGAGTTTTAAAGTAGAGCCCTTTTGGAGTACTACTACTGTATACCAGTAATTAAAAAGTATTGGAGCCATTGCTTTGTAAACCTATATCCTCATTTCTTGTCTTGATATTCAATAAGACAAAGGGCTGATATACCTCTACATTATATTTTACAATGATTATGTGTACAGTTGTGGTTATGATTACATGAATTGCTGAGGCATACATTTCTACTGACAAAATATACAATAAAAAAATAAGATAACAATCATTGTCTTTTGTATAATTTACTAAATGTTCTTGTCCAAAAGCAATAGAGAGCTATGATTGTACTTTAGTAGATGTACATGTACTTTCCAGATTAAATTCATTTCTAAAGAAAAACTCCATTGCAATTGTCATGTTTGAAATGTACCAGTTGAAAAGAAGACTATAAGGGGTGTTAAACCAGCATGCCTACAGATTTGTGTCAATTTTATAATTATGTAAACGTGAGATTGCTCTATTGATGACGAGTATACTTTTGTGAATTAAATGATTTAATCTTACTCTACTGATATATGATAAGTAAAAAGGCAACAATTATTTCATGTATTGTCACCTTAGTGCAGTTACAGGTTAACCTATTGAAATATACATGTATTATGAGTAAACCTTTTACTGCACTAAAGTGATGATATTGAATCTATTCTGTCAGTTGATAAGAAATCTTTCATATTTGGAAATTATAAGCTATCCACGGAATTTGTTTGATAAAAACAAGAGCTAGATGTCATCAACTGACATAGAGAAGGCTGTTGTTTCTATTGATGGTTATGCTTTAATCTTATATTTGTATTCAGAGAGTCACTTTGCATCTATATCCACTAGTAAAGCTGAGAAGTAGTTTTACAAGCCTTTAACCTGTTGGAACCAAAAGTTTGTCTTTCCAGTTTTTATGCCAATTTTAACACATTCTTTTTTTTTATTATCATATTTTGGCAGTTGATTTTGATAATTGGCTTTCCTGGATAACTAACCAGTAATTACTTACTAGTATTTCTCCACAAGTGACTAACTGCTAATTGTACATAGCTTTAGCACCAGCATAAGAGCCAGACCAGTCTTCACGGCCTTGCTGTCTGACCAGGCTCTATAATATTGATA